CTTTCCTCCCACCTGCCCTATCCTTAAATCCCAGCCCAGGCCAGCCACTCATCTATATTCTGTTTCTATAAATTTGCCTTTTCTGGCCATTTACATAAATGTTTTCATAGTAATTAATTTTTTGTAAGCTTATTCTGCCATTCAGTAGGTGCTTAGGAAATGTTTGTTCAATGAATGAATGAATGTACCAAAGATTGAGAAACTGCTCAGAAGTGTGGCACAAGGGAAAGAATACCAGACAAAAAGCCAGAAGACCTGCACTCTAGTCCTGGTTATGCCATTTATTTATGTGACCTATGGGAAAATCACTTGACATTTCTGACTCTCAGCTTTCTAGTCTGTAAAGGAGGGATAATGATAATCTGCCCTCCTTATTTCAAAAGTTGACAGTAAGTGTCAAGTGAAAAAAAAAGCATTTGGAAATATTTTGCATAGCTCTAACCATGCTGTATAGATGTAAGAATAATTTATGTTTATGTTTACTCTCATCCCCTGAAATGTCTATAAAAATAAATCACTCATTACACCAATGGCACAGGGGAGAAGGACGAATGACAAACGCCAGTTTAAGGGGATGTCCGCTCCTGCAATGACTGCAGTTAACTCAGGGAGAAGAGCTAACAAACACTCTGGTTATCCCATATCCATTACCACACGCATTTCCCAGCCAAATGGGGAGATAAAAATCTGTTTTCGAATGAAAATTTAACTCAATTCACTGGAAGAAAAATGACGATAAAGCTCCCTCTTATCTTTTTGCTCTCAGGAAACTCTAATTAATATGTGAATTAATTCTGTTTTGCAGGGCCTTTGCATCCATCGGAAAGAGGGGAGGTTCAGGTTTAAGAGTGACCTCTTTATTGCCCCACACAGAAGTGGAAGTGGAGAAGGAACTCTGGTGAATGGTGGCTCAGTCCCTTTCTCTCCCTTTAGGTTTAAAGGACTTTGTAGGGGATATGGAACGTAAGTAGATTTATTTCTCAAATGTGAAATTCAGGCTCTGCAGAGAGATATACAGGACAGAGACGGCATGAGATTATTGGAATAAAACCTCTGAATCTAATGAGTATTTTGGAGAAAAAATCAACAGCCTTGTATGTGAAGATTTACCTTTAGATATACTTTTCTTCTACCTATTATTTCTGTAAAACTCCCTAAGTTCCACCCTTTCATAGAGGTTAGTAGAGCCACAGACCTTGGTCTGGTCCAGGAGAGAGTTTGGATTAAAATACACGAATCTGGACAAGAGGACTAGCCCCACTTCCTTCAATCTCTCAAAGTCTGAGACTTGGGGCTTCCCCAGAGGTGGGCCAGTGAGCCGGGTCTCCCCACCATTCCCACCTGGTGGCCTCTGGCCACTGCCTTCCAACTTGCCATCGTGTTTTTCCCACTCCCCTGATCATCTTATCAGTCTACTGCTTCCCTTCCCAGTAAAGGTTATGTTCTTCTCTTTCTTTGTTCCTGTTCCAGCTGTTTCCCCCATAGCCACTGCTTCCTTCTAATCCAGGGTTGCTTACCTTCAGCATTTACTGACCTTAGGTCATATAATTCTTTGTGATGAGGGGCTGTCCTGTGCCCTACAGGCTGTTTAGCAGCATTCCCAGCCCATTCCACTAGATACCAATAGCACCTCCCAGTTCTGACAACCAAAAATGTCTCCAGACATTGCCAAGTGTCCCCTGAGTATGCAGTCACCTCACTGAGATCCCCTAAACCAGTCCCTCCTCCTGTCACTTGGAGCTCTTCCTGATTAAGCATTTACCGTGGAGAAGACACTAAGTCTTTCATGAGTTTTATGCTGATGTTTCTCAGAATTTAATGTACATAAGCATCACCTTGGAAGATTCTTAAATGGCATATCCTAATTCAGTCATTTTTTGGAAGGGCTTGAGATTCTACCTTTTATTTAGTTAGTTTTTTGAGACAGGGTCTTGCTCTGTCTCCCAGGGCAGAATGCAGCGGCAAGATCATGGCTCACTGAAGCCTCAACCCCCGCAGGCTCAAATGATTCTCCTGCCTCATCCTCCCAAGTAGCTGGGACCACAGGTATGTGCCATCACAACCAGCTAATTTTTACATATTTTTGTAGATGGGGTCTATGCCATGTTGCCTAGGCTGACCTCAAACTTCTGGGCTCAAGCAATCCTCCCACCTTGGCCTCCCAAAACGCTGAGCCACGGTGCCCAGCCCAAGCTTCTACATTTCTAACAAGGTCCCAGATAACGCTGTTACTGCTGGCTCATGGACCACACCTGGCAATCAGAGCTGCAGGTCATTACATCCTCATGGTCTTATGAGGACTCTATTTCACAAGTGAGGAAGCTGAGACTCAGAGGGCTCATATGTGGCTCGATCACATTTTGAACCCAGGTGTGCCTGCCTCCAGAGCTTGTGCAACTAGATTCTCAGTTGATGTTGGGCCAATGTCCCTGGGTTCTCTCCTTGCCCTTTCTTCTCAGGTAATGATGCTCTGATAAGCTCATCGGAGGTTGAGGCCCAGGCACGTGTTTGCCCAAACTATCCATGTTTTGATTCCTTCCTCAGACAGAGTGAGCTGCTCATGATCCCAGGTGTATCCTGCGGTCAGCCAAGGTGTATCCATGACCTCATGCCTCTGTTCCAGCCTGCCCTGTAACAGCTCATCCCTCGTGCCTGCCCTCCCCGCCTATTTGCAGACGGCAGTCTACAATTGCAGCTGCCCCCGGGGCTCGTTTTCCCTCTCAGCTTCCTGCCTTAGCTGTCTCCTGCCTCCCACTCATCTATTACTCCAGCCCTTTCACCTGGTCTTTTTTTCTGTCTCATCACTGCCTCTTGACATCTTTATCTCACGGTAGTTAGTTAGGGGTTCTTGGTAATGCCCCAAATCCTCACAGGGGAAAAGAGAGTGTGCTGTGGGGCTGTGCCTGGTTCTGGAGGGTAAGACTCAGGCCCTCCAGGAACAAAGGATTCCTGCTGGTGGCAGGTATAGCCGAGCAGGCTGCCGGCCAAGGATTGCATAGGAGCATTTTGTTTGCTTAAGAAAATAAACAACACGGAGTACGAGATGGACGGAGCGGGTGTGGTGCCAGAGGGGTTGGGAAGAGCGTGCCACGGGCCTCTTCTGTTCACTCTCTTCTCTTCTTTGATCTCCACTGAGCTGGAGGAGGTTATCCTGTCCCTCACGTCACATCCCTACTTCCGTTTCTCATGCCTGGACCCAGGTTGGGCAAACTCTTCCTGTAAAGACCCAGCTAGGGAATATTTTAGGCTCTGTGTGCCATATGGTCTCAGTCACAACTACTCATCTCTGCCTCTGTAGCACAAAAGCAATTAGTGACATTATGTCAACAAACGGGCTTGGCTGTGACCCACGAAAACTTCATTTATGGATACTGAAACCTGAAAATACTGGCTTTCTTTTGATTTTTCCCCCTAATCATTAAAAAATGTAAAAACTTCTCTTAGGTTGCAAGGTGAAGCCATTCTCAGCTTAGCAATGGCAGGATTTGGCTTGTGACCTACAGTTGGCCAATCCCTGATTCCCAAATGTATTCCTCAGGGATGTGGGCAAACACTTATGGGAAATACTGGATGAAACAGAATTAAGAAGCATCAGACATTTCCAGGACGGGCTAGCACATGCCAGGCCTCTCTAACTGACCTCATTAGGACTCATTTGTTCCATGGAGAATCTTGCAAGACAAGAATTCCTCAAGCCTAGAGTCTGAGGACTGCACTTTGGGAAACATCACTCTGCTCAGTGCCTCACTGGGCACATGGTGGAGTCTAGACCTGAGTGCCTTGCTAGCTGGAGATAGGGCCAGAGCTCTTGACTGCACTGGCACGCTTGGCATATCACACTGTCTGTGTCCCCTGAGTGGTTCAGAGCCACACATGCCAAGACTAGCCCACCAGAGCTCCAGGGCTCCCAGCTTTCTGGGCTTGTCCATGTATACACTTCCTTATTCTTCCTGGTTTCCAGAACCTAGGGTGACACGTATTTTGGTTGAGTGATTTAACCCTAGAAACCATGGGTAGCTGCATGTCAGGGAACGCTTCTAAACTTCCTGGCCCTGATGGGTTAAAGGAGATGTCCTTACAGGTTATCTTTCTCTGTGGACTACTGTCCCAGCATGAACAGGGCATAATGATGAATTATTTTGAATTATCTTTGATAATAATTTAATGAATTATTTTTGATGCATAATTTTGAATTATTTTGACAGTAAGGAGACTCGTGTGTGCTGCACAGTAATAATGTATTTACATGTGTACAGTTTACCAATCATCTCTGTGTTGATTTTGCATTTGTTTCTTACACTTGCCCTTGGGGGGAGGTGGGACGGATTTCTAAGAAATTTATACATGCAGAGATTGCAGCTCAGAGAAGCTAATAGACTTGCCCCTGCCCATACAGCCAGTGGCAGAGCCTGAACTCAGACCCAGGTCTCATCTCACCTCAGGGGCTGCTTTCCGGATCACCCTATTGTCTTAAAGTGAAGGGTGACTAGGCAATTAAGTAATACTCTAGGAAAGCATGACAAATTTCCCTTTCTCCACCTCCCTCTTTTTCCTCCACCCCTGCCCCCTCAGCCCCCATATATATGCCCAAATCTCCACAAACCTTGCTTGCCTGCAAATTTTTACTTCTGAAACAACTTCCGTGGCTGGGACAGGAACCTTTTACCCATAGCTACGTCTCTGATTGGTGAATGGTAAGCGTGCCTGTCTAACTTTTCCCTTCTGCAAAAAGAACCAGTCCCCTCCAGAGAGCGAGCCCTCAAGCATCACTTACAGGACCAGAGGTGAGCATGGGGGATTCTTGGGTACTTTTCTTTGAAGCACTAGACTTCTGCTTTATTTGTGAATGGGGGTTGAGGCTGGGACGGCAGAAGTCAACTTTTTCAGTGTGGGTGTAGGGACAAGACATGACTGCAATGAGGAGCTGCTTTCGCCAATTTAACACCAGGAAGAATTGAGGCTGCTTGGGAGGAAGACCGGGAGGAACGTGAGACTGAGAGATGAATTTTCAGTAGAGGCTGCAAAGCCTGTGGAGCTTAGCTGGGCGTGGTGGCTCATGCCTGTAATCCCAGCACTTTGGGAGGCCAAGGCAGGCAGATCACTTAAGATCAGGAGTTTGAGACCAGCCTGGCCAACATGGTGAAACCTCGTCTCTACAAAAATACAAAAATATTAGCTGGGCATGTGTTTTCAATATTTTCAGATACAAAAATCCTAGCTACTCAGGAGACTGAGGCATGAGAATCACTTGAACCTGGTAGGCAGAGGTTACAGTGAGCCGAGATCACGCCACTGCACTTCAGCTTGGATGACAGAGTGAGATCCTGTCTGAAAAAAAGAGCCTGTGGAGTTTGAAAGAACAGAATGAGAAGACATTGAGGGAGATACTGAAGTACAGCCCCTGCCCCTCGTGACCTCTAACCCAGGGTCGCCGCCTCCCTAGCCCAAGTGCTGGCAGAACAGGGTCTTCTTTGTTCTTCTTCCCAGTCTAGGGGTGGGAGACAGTTCCTTCAGGTGTCAGACCAGCGCTTGGAGTAAGAAAGGTTCTTAAATGGTTTGGAAAGAAGTACAAAAGAAAGGGAGAGAGTGGGAAAGGGAGGGAGCAAGGAAGGAAGGGAGAAAGGGAGGAAAGGAAGGAGGGAGGAAGGAAGGAAGGAAGGAAAGAAGGAAGGAAGGAAGGGAGAGAGGGAGGGAGGGAGGGAGGGAGGAAAGAAGGGAAGGAGAGAGGGAGGGAAGGGGCAAAGGGCAAAGAAGGCAGGTGGAAAGAAATTCTCTGCATCCGTTATAATAAATACATAATGGCATTATGTTCCCCAGCTTGGAGGCTCTTCACACAGTGCTTCCCAACTGGCCCTTCAGAGGAAGGCTTTAGAGATGATTCATCTGGAAATCTGAGATCTCTCTCTTAATTGGTTACTTAAAAAGTGAATTCTTAAACTCAAGAGTGAGTGGTTACTGGAGGTGCAGGACTCGCCTGTCCTGGCCTCTGTGCTCCTCCCCGGAACCAGGATTAATCCCACACTCCCTTGTGATGAGGAGTGAGGGACAGCCGTCTCCTGGGGAGGAGAAAAAGACTTGCCTCCCTATGTGTGCCTGGTGACTTAAGGGCAGAACTTGTACAAGCACACATCTAGTTCAACTCTGTTTTCCTGGGTTTGGACTCCCCAGATGTGGCACATTAGAACCTCCCATTTCTCCACTCTTCTCGGTCAAATTCTGACTCACAGGTTTGAGGCAAGAGAGAACTGTGATGGAGGAGGAGGAGGTGCAGGCCGTGTGGCTGTGGATGGGCAAGGTGGGGAAGGGCAGGTGGAGAGATGGCAAGACCAGTGGCCTCAAGTTGGAGGGGCAGAAAGCCCCCTGCCTCACCCCAGTGCACCCTTGGCCACCAGTTTGCAATAGTCTCAATTTTCCCATTCAGGAGCCCCAGGGATTGGCCCGGGCAGACCCTCAGAGCATTTTTCCAGGGCATATCACTCTGGGTCAGAGGACCTGCCTCAGGAGCTGCCTCCTTTTCTTTCAGCAGACCCTCCTGTCCACCTTTGCTGGCGATGGTCCTCTCGAATACAGATGGCTGCGCTCATTTGCTTGAGTCTCCTACTTCTCTGGAGCCAGGTGCCAGGGGCCCAGGGCCAAAAATTCCAATTTGGGCCCTGCCAAGTGAAGGGGGTTGTTCCCCAGAAACTGTGGGAAGCCTTCTGGGCTGTGAAGGACACTATGGTGAGTCAAGTGCTGTTCTGGACCCAGCCATGGGGGTTCCGGTGGGCAGTGGGTCCAGGGGCAGAGGGAAGATGCTATTTTATGATTCTGGAGCCCTTTGCAGCTTGCTAATCAGTTTCCCATATAATAACTCTGTGAGTCCAGAAGGCACCACAAGCCCCATTTACACATGAGGAAACTGGGGCTCAGAAAAAAATGTGACCAGTCTCCAGTGACATAAACAGAGCCTAAGGGAAACCATGAAGAGAGCTAGATTCATCCAGGCTTTGTCCTGAATGGAGTCATCAACTCTAAATCTGAGAACCAGAATGAATGGCTGGGCGGCGGAGGAAGCTCCGACGGCGAGAGGCAGCTCTGGGGTGCCGGCTATCTTCCCTCACACCCCGCTTCCTCACCATGTGGAACATGGAGCCAAAATCCTGTCCACAGTGGTCCTTAAAGCGGATAGGCTTATTTCCTCCCATCTCAAATGACCAGAGGCATCAAACAGCTTCCTTGTCGAATCTGTGTTCAGGCTCTAAGAATTAAGAAGAAATCCTGGGACTCCATTTGCTTCTTGGGGGCCAAGCTTAGTCATTTTCATGGCGGCAACTTCGTCTCCTTTCGCCATAAGCCTGTTCAGCACAGCCTTTCCTGGGTCCTCCTTTGGTCCCTCTGGCCTTTGAGATCTCACAGACTGGATAGATTTAGGGGTCTAGGGAAGCAGCACGTATTTACAGCACTGGTTTCTATACAGATCTCTAACCTGGAAATATCTTTTCTTTCTGTTTGCAAAGCAGGCTCAAGATAACATCACGAGTGTCCGGCTGCTGCGGCAGGAAGTTCTGCAGAACGTCTCGGTAATCCCACCTTGGAGATACCATGCGCTGTGGTTCTGTTCTACTATGGGTGGGAGTGCAAGGGTTTCTTAGGGGAGGTTGATGAAAGCCCTTCTCTTCTTCCCTGGACTGACCTTACATAGGATAGGGCCAGGGAAGTCAGTGTCTGGGGTTGTAGTATGCGTATGCGGTGGTACTGGGAGCAGGCGAGGTGGAGGCTTACAAACATCTTTCTCCATTTAGCCGGAGAATTACATATTTCTCTTTGACTTGCGTAGGCCCCATGGATATCTACTCAGGTTCATGGCCCCTCTTCCATCTTCATCCTTTTCTCTAGGTCCGCTTTCCTGGGTCCTCCCTTGGTCCCTATGGCCTTTGATATCTCCCGGACTGGATAGATTTAGGGGTCTAGGGAAGCGGCACAGATTTGCAGAGTTGGTTTCTATGCGGACCCCTAACTTGGAGACATATTTTTCTTCTGTTTGCAAAGCAAACTCATGACTAAAGATAATATCTAGCAAAAAGTTTCATCCTTTCTTTCACCATGGTCAGGTAGACTATGTTATCATGGATGGGTCATTATATCACCCATCTAGTGTGCATAAACCTACTGAGCCCTGAGCCCTGAAAGATGTGGTGCTTCAGGAGCTTGAGAGGGCTGGAGTGCAGTTGCTGTGTCCAAAGATATTAGTTTCACCTGATTTCTTCTGTTGTCAGCCAACTCTCTACCACCAAGTCCAAGTTCAAGTGCTTTTCAGGGTCTATCACATCCCCATAGCTGTTAAACAAGCCATGTGGCAGAGAAGAAAGATAATATTAACCAGATAGGCAGTCAGGAATCCTGGGAGCTCGGTTGTGTCTGCGACTGATTTACTATGTGACCTAGGGCAGGTCATTTCTCTCCCTGGGTCCTGGTTCCTTCTGTCAAAGATGCTGCTTTCCATGGCCCCTGAAAGGCTCCCACAGATCTAAGGTTCATCATCACCTCCTAGAAGATCCCTGTCTCTGCTGTGATTATCTTGTCTTGGGTGGCATGAGGGTCATTCCTCTAGGGGCCAGGGTGGGCAGTGGCCTTGACTCAGCAGTGACCCAGACCTTCCCCAGGCTGCTGAGAGCTGTTACCTTGTCCACACCCTGCTGGAGTTCTACTTGAAAACTGTTTTCAAAAACTACCACAATAGAACAGTTGAAGTCAGGACTCTGAAGTCATTCTCTACTCTGGCCAACAACTTCATTCTCATCGTGTCACAACTGCAACCCAGCGTGAGTGTCACAGGCTCTGGATACTGGCAGTTCTGGGTTCCAGTATAGGTCTCCTTCCAATCCACTGGGTGACCCTCTGCAAAGTCCTCCACCTCCCCAGGCTTCAGTTTGTTATCTGTAATTTGGGGATGACCGGTCCTGCCTAGCAGGATTGCTGTGAGAATTAAAGGAGGCAGCCCCTGTCACAAGGCGGGAGTTTGGTATTGGGTGCCTTGGGGATGCAGGATTCAGCCCTGGCCTCTCAGGCTTTGGGAACCCCTGTGGCATTGCCAGAAAAAGTGAGAGGGAGCTTGTATCTGCTCCTACCTAAAACTTGGCACAATTTCTTTTTCCATGTTATACAGAAGGAAAATGAGATGTTTGCCATCAGAGACAGTGCACACAGGCGGTTTCTGCTATTCCGGAGAGCATTTAAAGAGGTAAGGCCAAGAGCTGAGAGCTTCTCCATCCAGCAGAATAGACTAGGCTAATTGTCACATGAGGGCGCCTTAGAGACCCAGTGCAGCATGTAAGGCAGGAGACACCATCAGCTTTGCCCCAAAGCCCCCTGACTTAGCAGGAGCACAGGGATATTTGCAGAAGTACCATAAACTAAGTGATCTTTTTTTCTTCCAGTTTTCAAGTCAAAGTGCTTCTGTATTTCCTCCCTACAAGATGATTTTACTAGAGGAACTTTGCCTGTGTTTTGTGGGTACTTGAGCTGGGCAACTGAAGTCAGAAGAGAGGGAGAAAGAAGGGAGAAACCCTACCCCCACCCCATAGACATCTGCAGTATTTTTCCAGATGCTCAAATTGTCTAGTTGTGAAAAACAATTATGGGAAATTATACTGGCTTTTCCAAAATTATGACAATAAAACCCACATTTCATCCCTGGCTCCTGCTCAGAACACAAATGATTTTGATCACTTTTTGAGGAAGAGATGCATCAGCCTATAAATAAATGGTGAAGAACAATCACGTCTGACGGAGAGGGGCCAACTGGGCTCACTTCACCTACTCGGTGGATTCAGGTGGTGGGCCACACCCACCCCATACTGGAGTTTGTGGTCCCTGTTATTCGGGGTGCCATATGCTTTCCCCTTGTTCTTTGCCCACAATTACTCACTGTCCTGTTTGTCCTCACCCCTGAAGCAGACAAACACATGTAGATGGAGGAAAAGTGACAGGCAGGTGAGCTCATCAGAAGTCACCCAAAAGTGACCCATCCCATGGATCGGAGTCAGGTCTGTTTCAGGCATGGCAGGTTGGAAGAAAGACTATTCTCATAGCTAATATGGCTGACCTTCAATCCTCCCTTCCCTTTAGTTGGACATGGAAGCAGCCCTGACCAAAGCCCTTGGGGAAGTAGATGTTCTTCTGACCTGGATGCAGAAATTCTACAAGTTCTGAATGTCTAGACCAGGACTCCCTTCCACCTCCACCAGACCATTCCCCGTGTCATTTCAAACAGACTCCCTTCCTATGCTGTTCGCTGGATGCTTGACACCCTTGGTCATGGGTCCCATTTTTGGCCCAGGAATATTATCAAAGAACTCATTCTTTAAGCAGCTCCAGCGAGACTCAGGGAAGGTGCCTCAGGATGCTGTGGAGTCTACAGAGAAGATTCCTGTATTTATTACAACTCTATTTAATTAATGTCAGTATTTCAACTGATGTTCTATTTATTTGTGAGACTGTATGTTCCATGAAGACAGCAGAATATTGTGCCCCATGCTCCTCCTTTCCCCCTCATAATCCTTGCCAGAGTGTGGGGCAGTGGATGGGTGCTCACTAAGTACTTAATAAACTGTGGTCTTAATTTTTTTTTTGCCTGTCTTTGGATTATTGAAAAACAGAGAGGGATGCTGGGATGTAAAACTGAACTTTAGAGAATGGAAATCACACTGTCTTCTGATACCTGCAGGGACAGAGGATTGGTGGCATGGGGGTGTGGGGAAGAGACATCAGTTTGAAAAGTACATGATAAAAGATAAAACGTGGATTAAAGTGCCCAGCACAAAGCAGATGCTCACTAACATTTCATTTCCCACCCACACTCAACAGCTTACCCCATCATCCCTTTCCCTTGGTGCCCTCCTTTATTTATTTATTTATTTATTTATTTATTTATTTTATCCTAGTCATTCTTCCCTAACTTGCCACTTGAGTGCCAAGCTGACCTGCTGATGATGACATTGCACCTGGATGTACTGTCCAATCTGTGATGACACTCCCTGCTAATAAAAGGCAACACAACTCAAATCTGGCAGCCTTTCTTTTCTATTTCTGGATGGATGCCCAGTGAGACTGTGTTGTATAGCCAGAAAGGGCCTTCTTCCCAAAAACAAGGCTGGGCAGCCAGCTCAAGCTCTGGTTGAACTTTGTGGTTGCTATCAATCTGAAGATGTAACCTCTGACTATGACCTTGTTCCAAAAACTTAGACAAAAAGTGTACATAGGAGGTGGGATATCTCTTCTTCCATGACCTAAGTGTTACTGCAGAGCCCTGGCCACCCAGGAACTCCTGACTGCTTTCCTTCCTCACCTTGCTATATGTTGTCTGGAACTGGCAAAGAAATGAGGAACATTTGTGAAAGCTAAAAAATATAATAGTTTTGAATGACTAAAATAGACCAAAGTTAAGTGCACAAATATCAGCATCAGGCTATAGAAGAAAGATAAAGAGATGACAAAGACTTTTTTAATATGCAAATCTCACTAACAAGCTCGGTTCCGAAAATTTAGAATACATCATCACACCAAGATAAATTGCCCTTAGCATATAACTTGAGATAAGTAGATGTTCACTAGCAGGTGCTAAATTTTGGAACAGGGCAAAGCCATTTCTGGGAGTGTTTTCATACTAGACCCCTGCCTAGTCCATGGGGTTGAGGCTTATCCACATAACTCAGAAAAAGAGACTTCTATTTGTGTAAGACCCAACCCTGGAAAGGATGCCTGAGAATAGCTCTGCCTCTGTCCCAGCCTGATGCCATGTGATCTAGAGCCTAGGCAGCAACAACCCTGTGGTCAAAGACATTGAAGAAACGCTCTGCAAATCCCACAGCCTGTTAGATGGCTTAAAAAGGAAGCAAGTAGCATTGAGACAACTGCTCTGCATGCCTAGACCTTACCTGTCGACTACAGGGGGCGGCCAAGGTGTGCAAGACGACCTGGGAGCAGAGCCACGCTCAGGGCACAGATAGAAGGGGATGGGATTTGAGATGGGGCATGGGAAGTGATGATGGCTCTGAGAACACATGAAGCAGATATTGGATATCAGTAGACAGACGAGACTCCTTGGCACCACAGTCTGGGCCTGGGGTCAGGGGACAGCTGCGGAGCTGTCAGGCAGGAACATTGATGTAGTCGTTTGAATCACCGTCCTCCATCTTGGCGGCAGGCTGGAAGTAGAGGCTCACATATTCACAGCTGGTCTTCAGAGGTGGGGTATGGAGCCAGGGAGATTCAGACACCTGGGGACAATGAAAGAAGCATCACTGGATCTGGGTAGGGTGATTTTAATATCTCCCCAGGTGGATTTTCGTAGCGGACAATGGGGCACGGGCGTGGCTGCTGAGTTCCAGAAGGCAAAGACACAGAGGCGGCTCAGCTCCATCAAGTAGGGTAACCCTGGGGATTTTCATGCCGGTGCCTCGCCCAAGGTAACTGGAAATCACTGAGACCTAATGTAGGCAGGAAATACCTTAAATGGGGCTCAGAGTAAAATCATGTGGCTAAGCATGGGCCTGAAAGAGACCCAGCTGCCACAGGAGTATCCCCTGGGGGATAAGATGCTGTGACTTGTGGAATAAATATGCACCTTCATAGGAAGTTATTCAGAAGTAGGGTGAGTCACTCTCTGCACCATTGTAATGCTCAGAGACGCTGTGATGTGGTGTTGTGACAGTGCCTTCCAGGAAGGGGATGGGTGGTGAAGGGGATAAGATGGCAGCCCATAAGGCACACTGGTGCTCCTCTTCCCAAGAAGGAAACATCAGGATCATCCACCTTGAGGATGGTCAGTTCTCAGCAGACAGGACTGTGCCGAAGAAGGCGACCACGAGGAGGATGGTTACGCATTTAAACACAAGCTCTGAGAACTAGATGACCAGCAGCCTGAACACAGTAGACATTCCAAAGTACTCATTGAAAGGAACTTTGATATATTTTGTACTTTACTAAAGAGGGAAGCAGCAGCAGCTTGCTTCGAAAAGATGTCTTCCATCAGTCAAGGAAATAAGAAGCTATGAAACAGAAAAGAAATAAAAAGAGAAGGTGGAAAAGAGAAATAACAATGAGAGCAATGAAAACTAAGAAAGAAAATTGGATGGTCCTGGTATAAATGTCAGTGAGGATGAAACTCAGTCAAGTAATCAGTGAAAGACAGCTAATAAGCACACGTAGGTAGCACTCCCCTTAGATGATGTAAAACCAGTCAAGAAAGACCTGGATCCCAGAACAGCTCAAGATGTCAACCTGAAGCAAATTAACCAGCACATAACAGCAGGAGAAATCATGCACGAAATTGAAGGTGACACAGAGAAAAGAGAAATATCAAGATGCATATCTTTTTCACACTACCTTCAATTATGTTTTAATTTTCTTTGATAATAAAGAAAGTTTTAGATTTGTTAAAAATAAACAAAAATTTATCTTTCACTGCTTGTTATAGTTCATCATTTAACTTACTTGGCTTAAGAAATGGAAATATTCCCCGTGGAGACTATAATAATGAGTCATTAAGCATAGGCACCTGGTTATAAATTTGTTCCAACAAGTTTTTTGCACCTAATAGTGGGAACGAGAGTTTCAAGCAGAGAGGCAGGGTCAGCTTGGAGCAAGGTGCAGGCCCAGGTGAGGGTCTGTGTGGTCACAGGGCAGTTTCAGAGAAAAGGGCTGCTGGAAAGACGGAGTGGACAGACAGTGTTGCACCACTGCCACGCAGGTGCGCACCTTCTCTACTGGGGGCGGGGAAGGGCCAGCCAGAGAAGCCAGAGGGGACTGCGCAGAACTGCCTCTTGTTGCCCGGTACCACTCTTCCCTTTTTAGCCAGGCCCACGATTGATCAGCTGGGGATGACATTTCTCAGCCTCCCTTGAAGGGAGGGTCACTTCCCTTCAAGGGAAAGTTAAGTTTCAGTCTGCAGGACGCAGGTGGAAATGGTGGGAAACTTCAGGGTCATGGGCTTAAGAAGCAGCATTCTCTTCCTCCCTCCTGTGAGCTAGGAATGTGCACACGGTCCTGGTGCCTGAGTACTGACCACGAAGCAGGCAAGACGCCAAAGGACCGTACAGCAAACAGGCGGAGGGAATTTCAGTCTGGAGACGACCTCTTGGCTTGCGGGCTCAGGCCACCTCTTCCTGTCTCCATGCCTCTGAGCCTTTACTTGAGGAGAGGGAAGTAGGCTTCCACTGCGTGAGCTGTCTTTTGGAGTCGGCTGCATTAACTTAATCTACACTCAAAACAGGTATTTTCTCTTCCCAGATGGCTGCCGAAGATGGCGGAGGAGCAGGTCCTCAATGGTCGAGGCCATCTCCTGGGCCGCCTGGAGGCCATCATGGCTAAGCAGGTACTGCTGGGCTGGAAGGTGGTGGTTGTAGGCTGCCAGAGCATCAACACTTCCGGCAATATCTACAGAAACAAGCTGAAGTACTGGCTTTCCTTTGCAAGCAGATCAACACCAACTCTTCCAGAGGCCTCCACCACTTCCGGGCCCCCACCACTTCCGGGCCCCCACCACTTCCGGGCACCCACCACTTCCGGGCCCCCAGTGGCATCTTCCGGCGGACCGTGCGAGGCATGCTGCCCTGCGGGGCCAACTGAGGCCAGGCTGCCCTGGAGCGTCCTAACGTGTTTGACGGCATCCCACCACCCTACGACAAGAAAAAGTGGGCGGTGGTTCTTGCTGCCCTCAAGGCGGTGCGTCTCAAGCCTACAAGAAAGTTTGCCTATCTGGGGCACCTGGCTCACGAGGTTGGCTGGAAGTACCAGGCAGTGACAGCCACCATGGAGAGGAGGAAGGAGAAGGTCAAGATCCCCTACCAGAAGATGGAACAGCTCATGAGACTACGGAAACAGGCCGAGAAGAACGTGGAGGAGAAAAATGACAAATACACAGAGGTCCTCAAGAGCCACGGACTCCTGGTTTGAGCCTGGTAAAGACTGTTAATTCCTCATGCTTGGCCTGGCCTGCCTTTCCTCCATCCTCACGCTGGAATGTGCGGGACCCAGGGGCAGCAGCAGTCTGGGTGCCACAGGCAGCTTGGGACATAGGAAGCTGGGAGCAAGGAAAGGGTCTTAGTCACTGCCTTCTGAGATTACTTGAAAGCACTCGGAGAATTGTGCAGGTGTAATTATCTATGACCAATAGGAAGAGCAAGCAGTTACTATTAGCAAAAGGGAGTAGGAAGACTAATTGGAGGGGCCCTACGTTGTGAGTGGGGCATCTGTTTAACTTTCCACCTGGTCCTATGCTATACTCTGCAGCTGTTAGAATGTGCAAGCGCTTGAGGACAGCGTAAGCTTGCTGTTGTACAAAGGGTATTTATAGGAGCATGGAGTGGGAAGATGGGCAACCCAGGGGTTACAGGCATTGCCCATGCTCCTCACCTGTATTTTGCAGTCAGACTCAAATAAATCACTTTTAAAGAAAAAAATAAAAGGGAATTTTTACCACACCCTTTAAATTTTTTTTAAAAATTCTGGGTTCTGCCTGTTTTGGACTCTGTAGGCTACTTTAGAGAATAAAAAGCTTTATCATCTCAATTATTAAAGATGATTGAAGGCTTTCTACTCAACCATCTATCAGTAGCCATGAATGGAAACTTGAGTTCCCTCCGTCCACTCTGGATCTAAAGTTGAATCCTCCTTACTCAAGGTGTTGAATTCTGTCTACATCTTTCCTTTTTTTTTTTTTTCAAGACGGAGTTTCGCTCTGGTTACCCAGGCTGGAGTGCAATGGCGCAATATCGGCTCACTGCAACCTCCGCCTCCTGGGTTCAGGCAATTCTCCTGCCTCAGCCTCCTGAGTAGCTGGGATTACGGCACGCACCCCCATGCCCAGCTAATTTTTTGTATTTTTAGTAGAGACGGGGTTTCACCATGTTGACCGGGATGGTCTCGATCTCTTGACCTCGTGATCCACCCGGCCTGGGCCTCCCAAAGTGCTGGGATTACAGGCTTGAGCCACCGTGCCCGGCCCTGTCTACATCTTTCCGTAAGTCATCCTCTAGACCAGGCCTAACTGCCTTCAGTGAAGGGTAAATTACCTCCTCTCACCTTCGAGAGCTTACCAGAAAGTTCTCACGAACAGGAAGGTGAAACCGGGGAGCTTCCCCCTGTCTTGGACCTCCTAGAAATCGAATCTGCCTCCACCAGAAAGCCTTTCACGCAACTGTGGAACTGCCACCTATCATTCCCTGCTAAGCCAGGGCATCCAGCACGCAGGTAACCCTTGAGAACTGCTTGGCCAGACGCCATTGAACCAAGTCTACACAGTTCCGGTATTCAACCTCCTGACACCGAAGGAGGAGGAAACTAAAACAACTTGTTCCTCGGCTTAGGGCCCAGGAGTTGCGGGAAACCCTGCTTTCTAGATCACTGCGGCAGCGCAGGGAGCTGCATTCGGTCCCGCCCAGGGCAGGGGCTGCCCAGTCGGGCCGCGGCTGCCAATCAGGACCTGAGCGGAGCTTACCTGCAGCAGGGCGGGGGACAACGGCTCCCTAAAACCTGGAACCAGGGTCTCCCCATTGCCTAGGGAACAGCAAGGGCGAGGTGAGGCGGTGTCCCAGGCTCCAGCCCCACCCTCCAACTACAGTCTCCCGCTCCCCCCCGCCCCCGCGCCTCCCCCCCCGCCTCCCAGCCTCACTGCCCACCCCCCGCCCTCCGACCTCTCCCCCCGTCCCCTGGCCTCACACCTCACCTCGCCCCTCTCCTTAGCCCGAACCCCCCAGTCCCCACCCTACGGGAAGCCCTGGGACCTAGGAGGGCTCCCCGCCGCGCCCCGCTTTCCCAGAGACAGCGCGCTCTGTCCGGCTTTTTCCAGTGGCGCTCCCGGCCGCTCACCTGCAGCGTCCGCCCCAGGGGCGCGCCGCGGGCAGGCGCTGTAGATGTTTTGGGAGCGCTTTTGCTGCGACCCGCGGGGCGGCTGGGAGCTCTCTAGGGCGCGCATCCTCACGGCCAGTCGACGGGCCCGCCTGGAGAGGGCTTCCCCGCAAAGCCGCAGGAAGAGGAAGGAAAATGGCATCAGAGGCCCGTGCCACCCTCCCCAAATGAAAGGCTGCCGCCTCCCCAGGGCCTGGCAGTGTGTGTTCTGGAGATGTTCCAAGCGTGCGAAATGTACGAGGCACTGCCTTGCCCTGCCCAGAAGACCAAAGGGCCCAGGCCACCCTTGTCCTCAGCCCAGTGACCCCCACTTCCCTGCACGCCAGGCTGCTCATTGAGAAAGCTCCCCGAGTTTTTCCTGGAGGTTCAAAAGGGGCTTCTGAACTGCTCTGGGCTCTTTGGGCAGTTCAGCCGTCCCTACCCAAGCCCCCAGCCCAGCCGCTCACCTTTCCTCATTTGAACAGCCCTTTTCACCATCAGCCCCAGAAGTGCCAGCAGGGAAAGGCCCAGGACGGTCGGGATGAGGATGTGAAATCCTTGGCCTTCCCTCCCAGACTGTGAGCCATAGTCCAATGCTCTGGGGTGGGAAGGAGAGGGAGAGAGGGAGGAAGAGATTATTAAAGCAGGTAGGTTGAGGGCGCGCTCCTGTGTGGACAACATTTTCGGAGAGGACTTACAGGTTTGTCCGTTTGTTAACAGAATTCACTCCACCCCCCGCTCAGAAAGACTTGCCTATGAAGCCACGCAACTCGAATGCAAATTCAGATTCTGCCTTTTACTGCCTGTGTGATCTTGAACGAGTATCCTAACCTTTCCAAGCCTTATCTCTCCATAAATGGGTATAGTAAAATGTATTTCGCAGAACTGCTGTAAGGATGAAGTAAGAGTGGATGTAAAGAATTTAACACACCTTCCAATGTTTCACACCTCAGTTTCTTCACGAGATTGTTGCAAATATTGACTGGGCTAGTTCCTTATAATGGTGAGGAAAAGGATGTTTTTCTCATAGTGTTCCTTCTGCTTGGAAATTCTCCCTTCAGTTTTCTCTACATATTGAAATCTTACTTCTCTTAAAGGGACATTGTGTAAGTCCCCTTATCTTCCTAATTACAGTAAGTCAGAATCATTTGTGTGTGTTTGTGCTTTGGGTTTCTAATTCCTGTGTTCACGACTGTTTCAGACTTTATCACAGTCAGACTTATGTTAGTAAGACCTGGATGTTGCACAGTGTCATCTTTTCACATCTTCAGAACATAGGACAATGCCTGCCACATAGTAGAGAGTAAGAAAATGCTGGTTGGAGTCGATGTATTCTCTATTAATAGGTTAGGAATTGGGAGTCCTGGTTCTATTGGACTAGAAATCAGGAGTCCTGATTCTATTTGAAACCACTTGGCTCTCATGGCCCCAGTTTCTCCTACCTATAGAAGCCAAATGATTTTGGAGGTCCCTTCCGCCTTTGTCTTTGCTTATGGAAAAACAATTTTGATTATTAATAGGGTCCCCCCCAACCCCCGCCTTTGGAGTCTGCTATAATGCTTCCCCCTAGTGGTATATTGCAGTACTACCCTGGACTGAACCCTGGCCTTTAGACTGGAGCTGTCCAGTAGATAGTGAGTCACAGAGTCACATATGTAATTTTAAATTTCCTAGTAGACACATGAAACAGTAAAAGGAAATGGGTGAAAGCAATTTTAATATTACTAGTTTAATGGTTAGTTTTATATTTATTCTCATTAGTTCTTCCCCATCAAAATAGATTTGAATGATGAGAGTGACTGGAAGAGCTGGTTCTCCCTTCTTTCTACAGGATCGATGCTGGGCCATTGACAAGTGTGTTCTTGTTAAAGGAACTAATGAGTTAATGAGCTATACTCACAGGTGGTATATTTCACAGTGGCCTAGAGACGAAGCCAAGGAGGGTCTCTAATAGTGGGCATTGCAGTGGATTTCCGTGGATCTCCTAATTCTAGCGTAAGTCTAGATCCTGGACAGTGGTCTCTTACCTCTGCCTGTGCAGCCTGGTGTGGTGGTTGTAGCCGACTGTCCGAGGCTTGAGCAGCACCCCTCGAGCTGAGATCTCTGAGGCTGTAGTGGATGGCAGGAGGGTTGGGGGCTTGTCAGCTACTACTGAAGATGCTCTGGACACTCGAGAATAGTGGATGATTTGGGTGGTGGGGGAGGGGTGGTGGACTGGAAGGACCTTGGTCCTTGGAGCTGGTGTGGTAACTGGAGGAGGTGGCAGGAAAAAGTGATATTCCTTTTATACACTCTGTTCTCAACAGGATTAAGTCACCACCTCTTCCCACAACGTACCTTTCCCTTCTGTGCAGGCTACTGTTGTTCTTGCGTCCTCATGGGCTACAATTTTGCTTTTTTAAACATGCCATCTAGACCTAGTCAATTGCAAGTATATTTGCTTCAAATACAATTTCTTCCAGGAAGCCTTCCCTGACTTCCAAGGTAGAAGAGCTTACCCACCTCTGAGCAGGGGGAAAACCTTTTTTGCAGTCCTTTTCCCACTCTGCCTCATGCTGTATTTGTGTGCTAATCTATTCTCCCCGATCTCACCCTTATCAGTCACAACCTTGGCTGTATAATCTGTTCAGCTACACTATCCCTCTTGGCTCTCAGCAAGGTCACCTAGTGTAATAATGTTCAATTAATGTTTCCACCTCATAGGCATATGGGATAATATGATGGAAATACTGCATGTCAAAATGCATTTAAAACTGGACGATGATATTGAATTGTAAAGGTATCATTAGTTTGAACATCATTAATCTTTTAGTTGCAAAATAGAGCTAAAATCATTAGATATCAGCAGGTAGAAGACAGCCCTGTGGGAAGCACGAGACATGATGATCTCCAGCTGGGAAATGTCTGCCCAGTCTTTTTTTCTGCAGTCATTCATAAAAGAGCTAGATTTTGTGAGTGGAGCACAAACGTCGTTGCTTGTGGTGCCACCTGGTGGTAATATGTAAGTTCTGCAGCTAAGACCACGTCTCCTGGCTGTCCGACAGGCTTGAGGGATATGGACAGCAGATCTCAGGGAGGTAGGTACCTTCTCTAAAGGCAGGGAATATACACCTAAGACTTAGCTCAGCTCTGCCAGTCACTCTATGAACTTAACATAGACCCCTACTCCATTTTCACACTGCCACACTATCTCCCCCCTCTCCCCCCACCATCGCTACAGTGAACTGACCTCTGGGTACAGATTTGGAAGAACTGGCATGTGCAGGCATCTGGAACAAATGGAGCAGATGAAACCAATTTGGAGTCTCAGGAGCTGGCTGCTCTTTCCATAATGGCTCGTATTCTATTGGAGGGAAGAGGAATGTGTTGGTGGTCTCTAGGGGGAGACTGAGGCTTGGGGAAGGGCCAGTCGGCGTAAGCTGGAGCTAATAGAGTTAAAGCGGATGACAGTGAGGGGATGAGGGCAGGGTCCACAGAATGGAGCAGAAGAGGAGCTGGGTTTGGGGCTTCCCTGGAGGAAATACATACTGGTTCCCCCAGCCCAGTCAACATTTCCTGCACAATCGGCAGAGGTCTCCTAGGCTGTTGAATTAGTGCTGTGTATGTGTGGGGAACTCAGTGGAGGAAAGGAGAAAGGCGGGATTCCAGAGAAATAAAGGATCAGGTCGTAGAGTAATAAGATTGGCCTGTAAATGTGGCTTGATAAATTCGTGTCTTTCCTTTATTTCTCATGGAACGTTATGTAGGATAGTTATTTCCTTTTGCTCCCAGTTTCCTCCATCTCAGAGCCTCTCCTCAATCTCAAGCCCTCACTGCCCCCATGCCCTGGGTAGGATGGAAAATAGAAAGAGAGCACCTATCTTGTTCCTTTCATCCATGATGGGTAGAAAATTCTGTGGACCATGAAGTTAATTGACTTTGTGGTTTCATAAGGATCACAATCATTATGTGGCTTATATGGCAACAGTGTAAGAGTCTGGTGACTGTTACAGTTAGATGGCTGTCCTGATCTTCCCAAGTGGAAACACTTTCTGGGTAGGCTGAGCCTCCAATCAGCAGAGGAACCTACCACTGTGGACATTGAGGGTGACTTTCTGGGTCTTTCCTCTGTCCGTGTTTATGCCCGCTCCGCAGGCGTAGACGCCGCTGTCACTTTCCGTCAGTTCTGCGACCTTCACTAGGAACAGGTTCTCGTGTGGGTTTTCCGTCAGAGTGACTCGGCCCCTGTATTCGTTCTTGATGAAGTTGGTGGTGGATATCACGGTAGCACATGTTCTAGGTTCAGCCATCTCCCGGCACAGATATATCCTCACAGGCGTTTCGGGAAGTGGGCACATGATGGTAACTGATCCGCCCAGTTGCCCCTCTACCTTTACTTCTGGGAGGATCCTCAGAGCCCCTGATACTGCAGGGAGAGGAGATTAATGCAGAGGGAGCCCCATCTCTAGCTATATCCCAGCCCCATACACTTCCCAGCTCCAGCCCTCCCTCCAACCCTAGCCCGGGCTCCAGCCCAACCTAACATTCAACCCCAGATCCAGCCCTGTCCCCATTATTAGCTCGGCCTCAGCCTGTCCTTAGCCATAGCCCGATTCTCATTTCCTTTTTCTTTTCTTTTCTTTTCTTTTCTTTCTTTCTTCCCTCCCTCCTTCCCTCCCTCTCTTCCTTCCTTCCTTCTTTCCTTCTCTCCCTTCCTCCCTCCCTCCCTCCCTCCCTTCCTTCTTTCCTTCCTTCCCTCCCTCTCTCCCTCCTCCTCCTCTTCCTTCTTCTTCTCTTTCTTTCTTTCCTTCTTTCTTTCTTTTTTGTCTTGCTCTGTTACCCAGGCTGGAGAGCAGTGGTGTGATCATGATTCACTATACCCTCAACCTCCTGGGCTGAAGTAACCCTTCCATCTCAGCCTCCCAAGTAGCTGGGACTACAGGTGCATGCCACCAGGCCTGGCTAATTTTTGTCTTTGTTGTAGAGATGGGGTTTTCACTATGTTGACCAAGCTGTTCTCAAACTCCTGGACTCAAGTGATCTGCCTGCTTTGGCCTCCCAAAATGCTGGAGTTGAGCCATGGTGCCCTGCCCTTATTCTCATTTCTACCCTTAGTCTCAACTTGAGCCTCTTTCCATCCCCAACCCTATTCACAACCTTAGGCCAGCTCTATGTTCACCCCCATCCCTATGCCTGAGACTTACCTTAAGTAAACCCCAGCTTCAACCTCACCACCAAACCCAAACCCATAAAAACCCACACACCAAACCCTTGAGATGATCATCAAAACTATATCACCCACTCCAAGGAGACATAATATGTGTCAGGTGACCTCAAACAACATGTAGCCTCCATGTGACCTCAGCGCGCTGCTGGAAGCATGGTGCGGGTATGTTGCAACAGATTTTCCTTTCCAGTTTTGTTTCGCTTACATGCATCCATCCAGCCATTCATCCACAGCTCTCTTTATTAACTCATTCAACAAGGGTTTATCGAATGCCTGTCCTGTGACAGCAAGCCAGCCGGCATCCCTCCCTCAGGCACAAATCATTTAGTGAGTGATACCAATCAACACCCACTGAGCAGTGTAATACCTCCCATGACAGATCGCACAGGGTTCCCTGGAAGGAGCGAACATGGGCACCTGATCTAGGCTGTTACAGGGGCTGGCGTGGGCAGAGGAAGGCTTTCTGGAATAAACAATGTCTGAGTTGTGACCTGAAGGAATGGGTATAGAGGGCAACTGAGAGAGTGAAATGCTCATCATGGAGGCAGGGGACATAGGACGGGAAGTGAGGATGTGTATGGGTGTGTGTGCATGTGTGCATAGGTGCACACACACAGTATGTGTGCTGGGGAGGGATAAAAGATGTGGTTCATGAGTCCCTGACATCATACAGCTTATGCTTTGAGTGACAGAGGTCAGGTCTAATGCGCTTGAGCCAGCTACTAACATAAGGCCATGTCTGATTAATTGCCAACTAAGTGGATTCTCATAAATGTCTGCATATTTCTGGGAAGAAAGTTCGTATGGCATAGTGTGTGAGTGGTGAAGTGGGGCTGGAAGGCTGAAGTGGAAGAGGAGAAGAGAGTCTTCCAGACAGCCAGAACAGCCCCTCAAAAGGCCAGGATGTGAGAGAGAACATAGCATGTCAATGGGCAGAGAGAAATTTGCAGACTTACTGAGATTTATCCCCAGGGCATACATTAAGGAGAGTACTAGGGAGTTTAGACAAACAAGAGTCAGGGAAAGCTTAGGAAAGAGGTGGGGCTTGAGGCTTTGGGATAAAGACATTCTGGACAAAGGGAAGAATTCTGACAGTGGTAAAGAGATCAAAACAATCATGGGAGAGGAAAAGTCGGGGAGCGTGGGTGGGCTGCAGAGGGAGGATGTACAGGAGCATGTTGAGATCTAAAAGTGTAACTGATGCGAACATGATAGGGACAGGTAGATGGACCAGCAAGACCTCTGACATAGAAACCCTCACATGAAAAACCCAGCACTGCTTTAAACCCACTGGAAATTGAGTCATGAGGTAGCCTCACAACTAGACATTGCAATGGGAAGGTGACCTGTCACTAAGTGCCAGTTAACAAAGACCCAATCCAAGGAAGGTCTGCAGGAATCACCTTGTGCATCCAGACAGCCCCCACCTGTGTGGGAAGCTGAGTGCCGAGGGTGGAAGCACATGGAAGTGTTTGAATGAGACTAACCCAGCCGGGAAGGGGGTTAGTCCCAAGTCCACTTTCCCAAGAGCAAGATAATACAAAATGCGCAAGGGGAAGATAGCAGAGATGGAGTCTTCAGCTATGTAGCAACCTCCCGCAGCCTCAGGGGCCCAGGGTTGAGCTTTTGGTAAATCCCTGGTCTGCCCGTTCAACTCCCTGTTGTGCAGACCCCGGATGGATGGAGCGCAAGGTAGGCTGCTGGCTGTGCTGAGCTCTGGTCCATGAGGAAGCAGTAATTGGCAATGTACAAATGACCAGACCCCAGGAAAAAGTAACTAGTTCTCCTCAGGTTCATGGTAGCTTCTGACCTATTCCCAAGTCTTAGAAAAGCAGATTTTTAAAACAGAAAAGATAGATATAAGCTACTGGTTTAGACTTCTGAAATAGCACAGTGTGCCTGAGACTCATCTGAGGAGAATGGCCATGATGCCCATGACCTGGTCCTGTGCTTAGGAATGGCCATTACATCTGTCCAGGGCATGGTCTAGAAATATGTTTTTAAACAAGTGTCCCAGGTGCCCTTGCATTGCTACAATCCTGGGCTGTATAACTACATTTACAAACGATTCTGGAGAAGAAAGGCATAGATGGGAAAAGGCATAGAAAGGAAACAACCTGTTCAATAGTAATATTTTTGAGAGGCTGCTAAGTAAGTGGCATTAATCTCTAAATTGGTGACTTGTTTTTCAGTGGTCATGATAGGGAAGAGGGAGATATGTGGCTTAAATAATCACTCTCAATATATAAGTGGATGTAGAGACATGATTGGAAAATGGGAAAAACACTGTAATTTTTATCATATAAAATAAGGTCAAGGTCTACAGGGCCTTGGTGGCTGGGGAGCTCTGAAGAGGGACTCTGGTGCCCACTTCGCAGTGATTTTCCAGGTGGAAGTGCAGATGAGAACCTGGTCAACTCAAATCAGGGCAGGTCTCAGGAAGAAGGAGAGCTGGCCTCTGATTTATGTTTATCAAAAGGGCATGGATTTTTTTTAAAGGATGAGAAACATCCCTCCCACTCAGCTTTTTGTTTCCAAATACGGTAATCTGTGTGTGTCCAGACCTGCTGCCTGTCACAGTGAATGAAGTGTCCACCTCCTTTCAAAGGCCAACCCCTCCACCTGTGTCCTGATTCCATCATTCTCACCTGTTTTAGAACTTCTTGTCTGCAACGATCTCGTTTCTTTCTCTGGCTGTTGGAGGAAAATGGCCTTCTCTTCTAGCATTGCCATCGCTATTGCCCATCTTTTCTTCTTTTTTCTAAGACAGGGTCTTTCTCTGTCACCCAGGCTGAAGTGCAGTGGTGCGATCTTGGCTCACTGCAGCCTCCACCTCCTGGGCTCAATCGAGCTTCCCACTTCGGCCTTCTGAGTAGCTGGGATTATAGACATGCTAACACCACACCTGGCTAATTTTTTTTTCCGGGGGATAGAGATGGGCTTTCACTATGTTGCCCAGGCTGGTCTTGAACCTCAGGATCAAATGGTCCACCCACCTCATCCTCCTAAAGTGTCAGGATTACAGGTGTGAGCCGCCATGACTGGCTTTGCCCATCTTTAAAAACCCCTCAGTTGACCTTTGCCTCCCCTTCACCTGCCAACACATCTCTCTATTCTCTTTCTAAACCAGTTATCAAATTTGCTGAATCAGATTCTCTCCCATACCTCCTAATTTCTCTTCAATCCACTCCTATCAGAATCTCGTGTCCAGTGTTCCACTGAAACTGCTCTTGTCAAGTCACCGAAGTTCTCCTGTTGCCACATGCAGTGTTCGTTTCTTTGTCTTCGCTTCCCCTCACCCTCTCAGCAGCAGTTGACCAAAGGAGCCAGCCCATCTGGAAGCACACCCTTGCCGTGGCTTCCCCACTGCACACCCTCAGTGATGGCTCCCTGTCAGCCTCCTGTTTCACTCTCCTTCTTTCCCACCTCTCCGTGCTGGGCTGGCCCAGGGCCAGTTCCTTGAACTTGTTCTTTCCTCTGTCCTTCCTCCCTTTCTTCCTTCACTTGCTCATTGACTCCCATGGTTTCTAAGAACAGTGCTATAGATCTCACCAAAATGTGATCTCCAGTCTTACCTCTGAGCTTCAGACTTGCCTCTGACATCTCCCCTCAGACCCTACTTGAATGTGTAAGATATATGCCAAACTTAACGACAGCTGAAAAAGAATTGATTTCTCTTCCAAAATCTGTTCCTTCACATGCTCTTCCAAAAACCTCATCGTCCACCCAGCTGCTGAAGCCTGGAACTCATCCTCATGTTAAAGAATCAAGAATACATTTTAATTGTGTGTGTGTGCATGCTAGGTCCCAGCATCAAATGTACATATTATTATTATTATTATTGTCAAGGTAAAAAGGGCTTGAAAGCTCACACTGCATGACACTGCCTTGCTTTATTATAGAATTCTACACAAGGCTCTGGGCAATGTGGTCTACAGTTTGTGCCTCATGCACTGGGCCCTTGGGAGGCCCACCCCAGCATTTGCAGGACCTGGGGTAGGAGTACAAATTAAGGCCCAGATACTATATATCTGAATATTTTTAAGTTATAAATCAAGCTAATGAACTGTTAAATAAAATTTGCTTTATTTCCCTAGCTCAACAAATGCACACTCTCCTTGGATGTCCACTCTACCCTGTGGTCATGCAGGGAAAGCAACCCTAACCTTCCTGCCCCCAGCCTCTGCCCATCTGCCTTC